AGCTGCAAGTAGCTCCTTCTCGAGGAGGGCAATGGTGAGCTCAGTGGGGCAACGAGCTAGGAAGTGGTCCCTGATTGCACGCAGTGTGTCAGGGAGGCGGGTGACTAGGTGGTAGAGAGTGAGCCAGAGTGGAGGGGGGTGCGTGGCAAGGAACTCAGCAGGCATGGCGGCACGGAAGCGGGCCTCACTAGTACGGAGGTGCGTGATGAGGTCAGCGACTGTGTGAAAGGAGGCCAGGTCGGGAAACAGGTAGGGGAGGGAGAGACAGCCTAGTGCGGCAGAGGCAGGTGAGGAGTAGCGAGCAACTACAGCTGTGTACAGTGCCTGTGCAGTCTTGTGCTGACCAAAGTGCTCGCGTTCGTCTATCGGCAGGGAGTTGCGAATGGCGAAGCAAGCGTGGGCATCACGAGTCTGCCACTGTGAGCGAGCAGTGCTGTCAGCAGTAGTAGCAGGGGCAGTGACATGGCCTAGGGCGTGATCGTACAGTGAGATGTCATCCTTGGCTGTGAGCTGTAGGTAGAGGTGCAGGTCATCGAGCCAGGTGTCAAACTTCACAGGGCGGCCCTCAGCATCGAACACGAGAACCTGTGGGCTAGCCATAGGAACAGTAGAAATAGCAGCAGTAGCAGTAGGAGAAGCAGGTAGGACGAACCAGGTAGGGCAGGGCGGCGCGGCTCGGTTCAGGTCGGGTCGCGGCTCGGCTGGGTGGCGCGGCTCGGCTCGGGGCGCGCGGCTCGGCTCGGGGCGCGCGGCTCGGGTCGCGCGGCTCGGGTCACGGCGGGGACGCCCCGCCCGCTCTCCCTCGTGTGCTGCGGCGGGAACGGGCCGCCCGGGGCCTCTAGGTGGTGGGCACGGGTCGGCGAGGTCGGCACGGGGCCGGTTGGGGCCCTAGAGGGGCGAGTGCGGGGCCGATCGGGGCCTGAGCGGGGCTAGCGCGGGGCCAAACGGGGCCTTGACGGGGCTAGCAAGGGGCCGACGGGGCCTGAACGGGGCTAGCGCGGGGCCGACGGGGCCTGAAACGGGGCTTGCGCGGGCCCGATCGGGGCCTGAATGGGGCTAGCGCGGGGCCGACGAGGCCTGAGAGGGGCTAGCGCGGGGCCGACGGGGCCTGAAACGGGGCTAGCGCGGGCCGACGGGGCCTGAGAGGGGCTAGCGCGGGGCCGACGGGGCCTGAAACGGGGCCGACGGGGCCTGAAACGGGGCTAGCGCGGGCCGACGGGGCCTGAGAGGGGCTAGCGCGGGGCCGACGGGGCCTGAAACAGGGCCGACGGGGCCTGAAACGGGGCTAGCACGGGCCGACGGGGCCTGAGAGGGGCTAGCGCGGGGCCGATGGGGCCTGAAACGGGGCCGACGGGGCCTGAACGGGGCTAGCGCGGGGCCTGAACGGGGCCTTAAAGGGGCCGACGGGGCCTGAACGGGGCCGCTAGGGAGAGCGGGCGTGGGGCCGACGGGTCCTGAACGGGGCTAGCGCGGGGCCGTCAAGAGGGGCCTCTAGGGGCGTGACACGCCGAGGTGCCCTAGGGCACAGGTAGGTAGGTAGGTAGGTAGTTACGTAGTGGTGGGCCCTTAGAAAATTTCGGTCCTAGGAAGGACCTGCTCTAAACCATGTTGGAATCACTGAACAGGAATGGATGAACTAGCAGTGAAATGAGTACAAGTACCTAACCCTATAATTGTGTACCCCCTATAGGCTAACCCACTGTAGCCTAAACTAACACAGCATATATAATGTTTGACAGGAGGTACTAATGTTGCTGCTGGTCCCGGAGGTACTCGTCCTGGCGGTGCTGGAGCTGCTGGGACTGCTGGGGTTGGTCCTGCTGGAGGTACTGCTGGAGCTGCTGGCGGTACTGTAGCTGCCGGTCCTCATTCTTCACATATATTAACGAAGATCTCTTATGATATCGTACTCCCATGCTTCGTGATCTGGTCACGAATGTTGCGATAGCGGTTAATGTATGGATTCGCCTTCTCCCCGTGCCCCATTTTTATCTCCAGGAGTTGCTGCAGAAGCTTGTTGGCGGTGACTGGGTCCTTCGGCTGATAAACCTCAACGAGGTGCTTCCAAGCTTCCATGGCTGGAGCGTCGCTCTCTTTGTAGGAGCGAATGTTGAGTTGTTCCGCATGCGTCATGTTTCGTAGCAGCACACTGTAGGCCATAAGGGAATCGCTGTAGTACTGAGCCCTGGCAACGTCGGTGTTTTCCACCGGTTTAGGATAGGAACCGTCGAAGTAATGGTAGATCTGCGCCGTCTGTAGGAGGAGCTCAAGCTCGAAACTCCATGTGTAAAAGTCCTTGCCGTCGAACGCGACTGTAGTCTTGATTTTTGAGACGCTGAGGAAGCGTGTTTGCGCAGAGTTGATAGCTTCATCATTTGGACAGGGGGCAGTTGTTGTTGATTTGTCTGTGTCGAGGGAGAAGGTGTGCGCGGCGATATCACGGCTTTTCTCAGCCGGTTGTCCAAGTTGTCCTGGTTGGGAAGAGGTTCCCGCATCACCTTTGTGCAGGTCTTGGAGTTCTTTCTCCATAGTTGAAAGTCGAGCGAAAATTTGCTCGAGAGCGGCAGTGCCGATCTTAGTTGTCGCCTCATTTGTCGCAGCCGGGTTGGATTGTCCTTCAGCCGTCGGATTTGCTTGGCCTCCGGATCCTCCGGCCATCTTGATCTTGGAGCGTGTGCTGCTCGCCAGATCTTGGTTCGGCGAATTTCACGGAAGTGAGGTTGCGAAGAATCCCTGAGTAGCTCTGATATCATGTTACAATCCCAAGTGGGACTTAGTGAAGGATCGCTCAGGGTTGATCGCAGAGTAGTGCTTGCAGCGGAAGTTTTGAATATCAGGTTAGAGTGAATGTAAATGACTGAGTTGATAAAAGCATGCATACATCGAGTTTATATAAGTGTACAGGGGAATACGAAAAGTCCTAGATTAGCCATGTACTATAAGGGGTACATTCCCTTATTACAACAAATTCAAACCGTGCGGGGCGGGAACCCGTTTTGAACCTGTTCCCGCTCTTTTCGTTTCAAGTGTTTCTGCCTGCATCGGTCTTGGTCAGACGGTTGCTGCGTCGCTTCGACTCTTCTGACTCCTCGACTTCGTACTCGGTAGAGTCGGCTCCCGCAGCATACAGGAATGTCTTACTCATAAAACTTGATATCGTAACAGAAAGGAAAGAGGCTCTGAATACCAAGTGTTACGGGTGCAATGAATCGAAGTAACGAGAATTGCACTAAGGTGTCAAACGAGTACAAAATGTGAGCGAAGGCAGGAGCGAACATTTATACGCGAAACATGCAAACGGTAACGCGGTGCGTGCGAGCTAGCTAGTGCTACGCTGGCAGTGAGGCTCGGGCTAGTCCCGAAGCGTAGGCCAACACGGCCGGGCCAGCAGTGCGAGGTTTGGTGAAACAGTGCTCGCGAAGTTGGCGAAGCCCCGTTAGCACAAACGGGCGAACAACGGCTGCTGCTGTACGTGATGTTGCAGGGCGCGCTAAGGAATGTAGATAAAATTCCTTACAATGTCACACAAGCCGAACCTCAATCTTTATTTGATTGGATCTGTCACAGCCAGACACTCACGCGGTCCTGATTGGTTATATCGGACTGTGCTGGAGCTTGAAATGGCACGCACGAGAGCTGCTGTCGCTTTTCGTGGACATCGATTGGGCCGCACGCACGCGCTGCTTGCGTCAGCATATTCATCTCCCAACAGGCTTGGTGTGAGGTGAGAAAGGGCAGGTCAGGTCATGCGTTTGTCTTTCGCGAACGAACCAAGGATCCACCCTGCCATGTGACACGGTCAGGTTGGTCGGGTTTGGCTGGGCCCGCGTCAACGAAGCACACAGGGCAATGGATGTGAGGAGGATGAAATGAAACGGCAAACCAAACCAGTGACCTGCTTCCCACAACTGTACCACACTTTGGGCAGGACAGGGCAGGACTGCTGGTTCACATGACACCGCACCAACGACTGTGGGAGGCAACTCCGCCATCCCACATGCTTCACTTTCCAGGGCATTCAAATCCACGTCATTTCAGCAGCGAACGGGTTTCTTCTCTGCTGGATGAATGGCAGAACGTAGCTGGCGGGTGGTGGCTGGAGGGTCTGCTGAGCATGTACACATGACATGACACCCAGGTCAATGCTGCCTGGCAGCAGTACACATCATTGGGACAGTTCACTGGATGCGTGTTCTGCAACAGAACAGCCTGTCACGTCATCTCCACCACCTGCAGAAGGACCCCGTTTCAGCTCAAGCTGCCGAGCATTGTTCCAGCGCTTCCATTCCATCCATCCATCACATCACCGATTCACCACCACCAAGCCCAACAGCGCGTCACGCGTCTTGTCGCGCACACGTACCCCATCCCACCCCGACGAATTCCATCCCCCACCACCTTACCCCCTTCAACCTCAACGGCAATTTGTTCCGCACCGAACCGCACCATCATCACCGTCATCATCACCTCACCACCTACCCCATCGAATCCATCATCTCTCATCTCTCCGCCTACCCCCTCGTCTCACCTTCCATCCCACCCAACCCCTTCCATCATCCCACTTACGTGCCAGCCATGGCCCACCCATCAACCTGGTGTACGCTCACTAGTCACACCCAACTCACCTCTCGAATATTGAACCAAGCTCCCATACCAGGAGCTCAAAACCAGCAATTCATATCTTCAACCCATCCATTGTCATTCTTCGAGCTCTCTTGGTTTCACAAGTTGGTAGAGCTATTTTTCATTAATCGGTTTCCTGATCATCACGCCACGGACTGGCGGTGCGGATATCTCGAACCTTTGGCAGCACCAGGCGGTCCTTCCTTTGTGTGTGCCAGACGACGTGCGACTGCGATCCCGGGCCACACGGGAACAAGAGGATGACATCTACCGTGACGCTTTAGAACACAGTACCGTATCGATTAGATTCACGACCGAGAGAAAAGGAAACACGCGCACACAGGCACACAAGAAGGAGGAAAAAACAGAAAGAGCTTATGGAAGGGGACAACTGCGAGCACGGGCTTGCGATTGACCCTGCTATCGATGTGGAGGAGGAACGGCTCGACAGCAGTCGCACGATGCGTCGCATAGTCGTCGCAGTGGACGGCAGCGACGGCAGCGACATGGCCGTTCACTACGCGCTGCAGCGAATCGCGGACCCGATCACGGACCACCTCTTTCTCCTCCACGTCAAGACACCTCGCCACCGTAAGCTCATCATGTCCGTCAACGGTTTCCGTTACCGACTCCGTTACCGTTACCGATCCCGTTTCTGTTATCGTTACGTTTCCCGTTACCGCACGGCTCTTCACCGTCCAGATCCACGGCTTTCACACGGTCTCTCCATTCCGCGTTTGTCGCCTTTGATGTACTTCCTCCACTGTCCTGCTCTGTTCTCAGGCCGCTCCCAACTTATCACCTCTCATCTCATCTCTTCTCGCGTCGTCTGATCTCGTCTGGTCACATCTCGTTTCATCTCATCCGACCAGTGCCATCCGATTCCTTGGCTGCGGCCGCGCCGACTTGCCTGCCGTCGTCGCCTCGCGCATCGTCATTCGCTCGACGAGGCAACACTAAGGACCATACACCCACCACCGCGAACACCGCTCCACCCTCCAACGGTCGATTCTCACGCAAGCGTCAACATGATGCCCTGAGGTTTTCTGTGTGGTCTTCCGCTGTTTCCGGGCCAACCGAATCTTATCATGCCGACCGCGCGTCGTCCGCTTACCTCGGCGCCTCCACCGATCGCGCCGCAGCTCTCCTCGCTTCGTGCTTTCTCGACGCCGCTGCCACCGCCGCAACTCCCGCCGCCGCTCCCGCCGCGCCGGCTGCTCTCACGCCGTGGCAGCTGCCGCGTGCTCCTATCAGACGGCTCAGCGAAAGCGGCGCCGGCGTCGGCGGAGGCAATGGCGCAGAGCCTCTGCGGCACGTGCGACGGCGGAGCGTGGACGGGTTGCGCATGAGCGGAAGCTCCGCCTCCGCCGCACCGGATTCGGCGGAAATGCGCAAAGCGGCGGTCGCGGCGGCGCTGATGCTGGAAAGCGCATTTGAATCGTCGGGAGGCGCAGCAGCAGCAGCAGCCGGGTGTTTAGATAGCTCTGTTGCCGGGGTGGGTGATCATAAAACGAAAGCAGCGTCTGCAGCTTTGTGGAGTCGCGTGGATGGAGATTTAGAAGGCAGTGGTAGCGCCAACAGGCCTGATATGCCCCTCCCCGCTGTTCACTGCTTTCCTGGCGGTTTCGGTGCCGTGAAAAGCGGCGAGAAGCGCGCCGGCGCGACGAATGCGGGCACGGGGAACGACGACTGGGCGAGAAGGTTTCGCGGGGCGGACGCGTACGGCGCCGCGGGTGGCGCGTGGTGCGGCGGAAGCGGCGGGAGCGGAGGGTCGGTGAGAGCGCATGGGCGGAGATTGGGACGACCGATGAGGCAGCAGCAGCAGCAGCAGCAACACATGGACGTGAAGGTGGGGATTGTAACGAATAATGGGTGTTTGGTGGCACGTGGTGGGGCTGCTGAGGAGAGCAATGGGATGTGAGGAGCGATGGCTGAATGTTGGAATGAGTGTGTATGAGAGGGGGAGGTGGGGTTGTGGGATGGTGGGATGGTGAGGTGGTGGGATGGTGGGGTGTAAATGGACAGAGTGAGCAATGGATGCGTGGTTTTGATAGCGCCATTGGAACAGCTCGGGTTCTTTATGTTTGTGGTTTGATTCCTTATTCCTCACTCCTGTTCCTTACCCATGTGTGATTGGATGACAACTCTCATGGCATGGCATGGCATGGCAGGTGGCGCGCTGGTTGGAGCGGTTTGCGCGGGAGGCGGAGCAGATGGGCGTCGCATGCGACACTGCCGTGGTCGAGGTGAGGGGGGAGGGGGAGGAGGGAGAGGGGAAGAAACATGGGAGAGGAGTAGGCGGGAAGAGGGGAGGGAGGAGAAACATTGGAAGTGGAGACATGGGTGGGGCTTCACAGGTGATGGGATGGAATGGTAAGGGGATGGTGGTGGTGGCCATGGATAACTGGTGCAGATTTTCTGGAGGTGAATGAATGAACGACTGAATGTATGGATGAATGGATTGAGAGGAATGGTTGTTGGGTGGAGGACTGGCAGAGTGGGTGGCTGGAGATGGAGGTGAGGGAGGGATAGATGGAACTTCGAGTCAGTAAAAAGATGGGATTGATATATGGCAAGAGTCAATGAACTAGAAGGATTTGGAAGGCATGTGCTGTGCTGTTCATGTGTGAGGAACTTGACAATCGAGTTGTCAATCCGAAGAATCGAGTTCCTTCTGGAAGATCATGTGGTAGCCCCAGCTCTTCTTTTTTCTCTCCCAAATTTCCACACTGCCTTACTGCCTCACTCCCTCGCTGCCGCACTGTCCCACAGTGCTGTCTTCATGTAAACCTAGTTCCTTGCTGGTCTGCTGTAGGTAAGGGAGAGACGTATGTAAGGCTGTGTGGTGTAGTGCATGGGTGCGTGCATGCATGCATGGGTCCAGTGCGGGCTCACCTCCTCATTCTCTCCCACTCTCCCTCTTTCCCTCACTCCGCATGTCCACTGTCCCCAACCCCCCCCCCCCCCCCGGCTGCTCATCAGGCCATGGACCCCTGTGAGGCTGTGCTGTGCCGTGTGCATGCAGTGCGGGCTCACCTGCTCATTCTCTCCGGCCATCTTGCTGACTCGGCTGGTGGCGCTGCTGCCTTTGCTTCCGACCCCCACACCTTTCCTGCTCCTCCTGTCGCTGCTGCTGCCGCCACTGTTGCTGCTGCTAGCAGTAGTGTTTCTTCTGTTGGTGTTGGGGCAGGGGCCGGGGGAGTAGGGGTATTGAGTGGTGTGCGAACCAGGGGGGGTATGGAGCGGATTGGTGTGCGGGGTGGATTGGGAGTGGGAGTGCGTGGGGGTGGAGGTGTAGAGAGTGGGTGTCCTGTTCTGGTGGTGAGGCCGGGGGGGAGAGGGAGGATCAGGGACCATCGCAGTAGCTTGATGGAGTTTTGAGAAGAGGAAGGTGCAAGTGGAAGCATTTATGGATATTGTTAGGTGCATGCATTGAGAATGCTGGTTGCATTCTTGTTTTCCAGGAGCTTGGTATGGAAGCACACATGTAGTGGTGCTTACATGAAACGCCCCCCTCATGCTGCCCATCTGTGCGTTTGCATTCACTAGTGGGAATTAACATTATTTCACTTCATATCATGTACATTTTGAGACTATACTGCTCGTACGTATTTCAGAACATCTAACTCACCTAAAACCCAGCTGACGTGGCCAGGTCTCAGCAGAGGCGTCAGACAGCTCAGCTACTCGTGCATAGCGTGCGATTGAGCACGTCAATAATGCCCAAGCCCCCAGCTCGCCTCGTGATTTCCTTCGAGAGCATCTGCTGCTGAGGCGCGACTCGCGGGTCAGGAATACTTGAGGGAGAGTTTTGCTCAATCCCGCAGAATCGCGGTTTGTTTTATTATCGCCACGTGGCAAGCCTTCGATCGCGTGAACCGCGATCTGTTTTATTGTTATCACAAACTTCAAGTGAAATTTAGTTAAGTTCTGTACTCCGCTGCCCGCGGGCAAAAATAGAACCCATTAGGGCCTGGCATGCGTTAGGGATGCATCAACCCTAAACACCTTGCCTCTAGGTGTTTAGAGCCAGCAGCTAAAATAGTGACCCCCCCTTCTAGTTGGGTCCAACTTGAAAACGGAAGTTTTGGGAAAGTTGGAAGTTACGTGTGAGATTTTCTTTCAACACCAGAGTTTGCCTCAAAGTGAAGGGGGAACGATTGGATAATATTTATGAACTCTGATTGGTGACAAACTTTCTCGCACATAGTACATGTGCGATTTTGGCGCAAGGCTGCACGACGTGCAAAGCTTCCAATCGTTCCACTGAATGTACTAGAAGCTTTGCGTGACGCAACGACACAAGCAGTTCCGACAACCCACACACATGCAACGAGAATGTTTAGGTGATCCAGAGCTAGTCGACCTGTGAGACCAGTGCAGCGAAGGACCTGCGGCCTGCTCTTTTAGAATAATATTAACAAGGGGAGGGGAGGGGACGGTAGTGAGGAATAACGACGGGAAAGATCAAGGGCGAGAGGAACAAGGACGGGAATGGAAGCGGAGATGGGAAGAGCGACGTTAGGGGAGCGGAGAGAGGAAGAAAGACGGGAGGGGAGCGGAGACACCGAGGGCGAAGAAAGGGGATGGGAGAACAACAAGAAGACGCGAAGGTAGGGGAGTTCTTGAGGGCGACGAGACGGGATGGAATAAAGGTACGCTGATCGAAAGGAAAGGGTGATGGCAATATCATGGGGAAGGGAAGGGAGGGGCGATGGCGCGGGTAGAGAGGAGCGCGATGGCGACTACTCGAGAGCGTTTCGTGGTGCCGACAGTGACAGGAACCGTAACGATCGCGCGAGAGGCGAAAGAGCACTTCGTCGGAAGGCAAGCATATATATAACGCCGGGACAGAGCGAAGAAGAGAGCGAGGGCGATGGGAGAGAGGGCGACGGGAGAGAGGGTGACGGGAAGGGCGCGGAGAGAGAGAGCACGACGGGAAGGGAGGGGCGAGAGAGAGGGCGACGGGAAGGGAGCGGAGAGAGAGAGCGCGATGGGAAGGGAGGGGGGAGAGAGAGGGCGACGGGAAGGGAGGGGAGAGAGAGAGGGCGGCGGGAAGGGAGGCGACGGGAAGGGCGCGGATAGAGAGAGCGCGATGAGATGAGAGGGGCGAGAGAGAGGGCGACGAGAAGGGCGCGGAGAGAGAGAGCGCGATGGGAAGGGAGGGGCGAGAGAGAGGGCGACGGGAAGGGAGGGGAGAGAGAGAGCGCAATGAGAAGGGTGACAAAGTTTGAAGAAAGAAAGAGGAATGAACTAGCAGAAATGGGGATACAAATAGCAAACCCTAGAAGGGTTGTACTCGCTATAGAGCACCCCACTACAGGCTAGAACATAAGAATAATATTCTGACACACCCCCATAGCCAAAGTGGGGTGTAATCAGCAGAGCAGGCAAAGCAAAACAAGCTCAGGGTGGATCACAATGTCACCACACATTCTGAGCACAAGTTCAAGAAGAAATAGTTTAGAGTTCACAATTATAAGCAAAGCTAGTGGTAGTCACAACGGGCAAGTGAGGAGGCGACGGCTGAAGCTGCAGACACACGGGCAACAGGAGGCAGACTGGCACAGCGGCTACCGGACAGCGCCCGGACTACAGGAGTAACAGGCCCCGCGGCTCAAATAGCGGCGGACGGGCAACGGACCCACGGGCGGCTGGCACAGCTGGCTACGACTGGGCTACCGGGACAGCGCCCCGGACTACAGGTGCTGCGGACGACAAGCCGGCAGCCTCCGCTCAACCTCCCGCAAACAGTCCCACCCCCCTGATACACACCCACTGCTACACCGCTAGCTCTACTCCCACGCACCCCCCTTAAACCCTAAACCCCAGTCTCCCACACAACCACCCCCCTCAGCGACAGCTGCAGCAGTGGGAGACGAAGGAGGAGGAGGAGCAAAGGGAGGAAGGCACACCGAGCACCCCCATACCCGCCACCCCACAGCTCGCAAGCGGCCCCCTCAGGAGCCGCGACGGGCGACGGGAAATGGCAGGGGGAGGGGGGGGGGGGGGGGGGGAGGAGGCGGTGTGGTGAAAGGGGCCCACCACGGGCCTGGTTGGAGGGCGGGGCCGCGACAAGGGGCGGGGCCGCGACGAGGGGCGGGGCCGCGACGAGGGGCGGGGCCGCGACGGTCGGGCAGGGCCGCTTTGAGGGGCAGGGCCGCGACACAGGGCGGGGCCGCGACGTAGGGCGGGGCCGCGACGGTCGGGGCGGGGCCGCGACATAGGGCAGGGCCGCTTCGAGGGGCGGGGCCGCGACGCAGGGCGGGGCCGCGACGCAGGGCGGGGCCGCGACGTAGGGCGGGGCCGCGACGTAGGGCAGGGCCGCTTCGAGGGGCGGGGCCGCGACGCAGGGCGGGGCCGCGACGTAGGGCGGGGCCGCGACGTAGGGCAGGGCCGCTTCGAGGGGCGGGGCCGCGACGCAGGGCGGGGCCGCGACGTAGGGCGGACGCCCGCGAAGGTAGGGCAGACGCCCGCCGCGCGCCTCGGGGCGCACAGCGGGCAAAGAACCGCCGCGCGCCCCGGGGCGCACGGCGGGCAGAAAACCGCCGCGCGCCTCGGGGCGCACGGCGGGAAGGAAAACCGCCGCCCGCCTCGGGGCGCACGGCGGGAAGGAAAGGTAGCAGCGGAAGCGAGGTGGAAACCCACCCACAGGATCGATCCAAGGGGATCGACCTGCTCTGATACCATGACAAAATTAGAAGAAGAAAGAGGATTGAACTAGCAGAAATGGGGATACAAATAGCAAACCCTAGAAGGGTTGTACTCGCTATAGAGCACCCCACTACAGGCTAGAACATAAGAATAATATTCTGACAAAGGGAGGTGACGGGAAGGGCGCGGATAGAGAGAGCGAGAACAAAATGAGAGGGGCGAGAGAGAGGGCGACGAGAAGGGTGCAGAGAGAGAGAGAGCGCGACGGGAATGGAGGGGCGAGAGAGAGGGCGACAGGACAGGAGGGGAGAGCTCGTAAGCGATGGGACGAAATGGGAAAAACGGGGTGGGAGAAGAGAGAATGTTTCGAGGCAAGCGCGAATGCGAAGAGGTGGGTGATGGGCGGGGGGGGACGGAATAAGGCCGCCGCGAGGGCAATTCCACGCGAATGTGAAGGTGATGAGCTGAGCGACGAAAGGGCGTTTCGGCGGCGAGCGCGTTCAACCGAAAAATCTCGAGGCAAGTATCTCTACGAGACGCGTAAGATCCCTCGTTACTAGGCCACGAATTGAAGGATGTGGATTAAATCTATAAAAATGGTAGTTGCCTAGGCAAAAATGCCTACGTTTTTAGCTATTCTAAGCTTGGCTAAACTAGAGACTAGAGTGGAAAGAAGTAGTGGAACCCAGGTCCAGCTTGAAGTTGGAGTTGGGCCCAACGATCGCAATGATCGCCGTACAGCCGTCGTGCGGGTGCATCATGTTGAATGCGACTCATTGTGTAAGGCCTAGAAATTTCGTTTTTGGCAGGAGCCAATCAAATGGGTTCGATCTGCACACACGAAATGTTTGAAACAGTGCTTTGCAAACCCACCCGAGAAGATCCTTTCAAGCTGGGACGGGGTTCACTATTCTATATTTCGGTTTTAGGGTTGATGCATCCCTAACGCATGCCTTACTTATAGGGGTTTTATTTTTGCCCACGGGCAGCGCAGTACATAACTTAATTAAATTTCTCTTGAAATTGTGATAACAATAAAATAGATCGCGCTTCACGCGATCATAGGCTCGCCACGTGGCGAAAATAAATCAAATCGCGCTTCCGCGGGATTGAGCAAAATTCTCTACTTGAGGGGAACTCTCAGCAAGGCAAGCAGGTCTCTCTGTTCTCTCCACCACTGCTTGTGGATTCAGTTCAGGTTTCCAAGTCTCTTACATCTAGTGAGATTCATTTTGAACGCACATACTTAGTACGGTACCTGGAACCACCGTCGTGATAAGGTTTTCAAGATGAAAACGGCCACTACTATCAACAGCCTTCCTGACGACCTTCTCGTCAGGATCCTCTAGCATTCTCAACCCGCTCCCGAAGAATCGTTGATGGACAGATTGTGGAACTCGTGTCAAATTATAATATTGTGTAGGCTATAGTGGGGTAGTCTATATGGGGTACACATTTCTAGGGTTGCACATTTGTATCACTCCCATTCCTTAGTCAATTCATTCTCGTTCTACTTTCCTCATGGTATCGAGCAGGTTCCCCCTTGGGAACTGTGCCTAGGGCCCACCACATCGAGTTTCATTTTTTTTCTCCTGCCCGAAGCGCGCTCCGCCCGAGTCGCGCTCTGGGCTCTCACCTCGTCGAGCCGCCCTAGCGGCCCCTACGCCCTAGCGGCCCTATCGCCCTAGCGGCCCCTTCCCCTAGCGGCCCCGCCGCCCGTCGATTCGGCCCCGCCGCCCTTTAGTGCGGCCCCGCCGCCCGTCTCAGCGGCCCCGCCGCCCTTCTCAGCGGGCCCCGCCCTACTTAGCGGCCCCACCGCCCGTCGCTGCGGCCCCGCCCTTCTCAGCGGCCCCGTCGCCCCGCATTGCGGCCCCGCCGCCCGTCTCCGCGGCCCCGCCGCCCGTCGCTGCGGCCCCGCCCTTCTCGCCGGCCCCGTCGCCCCACATTGCGGCCCCGCCACCCATCTCAGCGGCCCCGCCGCCCTTCGCTGCGGCCCCGCTGCCTCCCTTGCTGCGGCCCCGCCGCCCTACTCAGCGGCCCCACCGCACTTCTACTCAGCGGCCCCGCCGCTCTACTCAGCGGCCCCGCCGCCCTAATCAGCGGCCCAACCGCCCTAATCAGCGGCCCCGCCGCCCTTCTACTGCGGCCCCGCCGCCCTACTCAGCGGCCCCGCCGCCCTTCCGCAGCGGCCCCGCCGCCCTTCTCAGCAGCCCCGCCGCCCTACTCAGCGGCCCCGCCGCCCTTCAACTGCGGCCCCGCCGCCCTTCAACTGCGGCCCCGCCGCCCTTCTCAGCGGCCCCGCCGCCGCTCGCACCAGCGGCCCTGCCGCCCTACACCACCCGCGCCGCCCGAGCCGCCCGAACCGCCCGAGCCGCCCGAGCCGCCCGACCTGCCCGAGCTGCCCGAGCCGCTCGAGCCGCCCAACTCTCCTGAGCCGCCCGAGCCGCCCGACCAGCCCAAGCCGCCCGAGCCGTCCGAGCCGCCTGAGCCTTCCGAGCAGCCGTGTTGCCGTGTTGCTGTACTGCTGAGCTGCCCGACCCGCCCTGTCCGGTGAGAGCAGCGCCTCTGTCACTGCACTGCCCCTGTCCTACAGTTGATACTGCTAGTCTACTGCTGTCATGGCTACCCCCAGTGTTCTCGCTTTTGACGCTGAGGGTCGAGCCATTGACTTTGAGGTTTGGGTAGATGACCTGCAGCTTTTCCTACAGTGCGATAGGGCAGACGGTCTCTCCCTCTTTGACCTCACCTCTAGCGCCTCTCCTGCCCCTGCTGCTGATGCTGACCCCACTGTTCGCTCCCAGTGGGCCACGCGCGATGCTGCTGCACGTCTTGCTGTGCGTCGCCACCTGCCTACCACTGAGCGCGCGCACTTTAGTCAGTACAAGAGTGCTCAGACCTTGTACGACGCTGTAGTTGCGCGCTACTCTTCCCCTGCCACTGCTGCACTGAGCCGCCTCATGCTACCGTACCTCTTCCCTGACCTTGCTGCCTTTCCTATAGTCGCTGACCTCATTACGCACCTCCGCACTAGTGACACTCGCTACCGCGCCGCGCTTCCTGCTGAGTTCTGCGCCAAGAACCCCCCCCCCATGTACATCACTCTCCATTATATAGTCACCCGCCTCCCTGACTCCCTTCGTGTAGTCAGGGACCACTTCCTCTCAGTCTGTCCCACCACTCTCACTATTGACCTCTTAAAGAAGGCCCTCCTAGCAGCGGAGAAGAGCATAGTCGCTGAGCCTCTCGTGGCGACCCTCGCACCCCCATCTTTGAGGGGTGTTCTCCTTCCCCCCTTTTGCCCTCTGTCGCCTCTGTTGCTGCGGCCGACCTCGTTGGTCTTGAGTCGGTCGGTGCGGCGTCTGCCCCTAGCGGGAGACGCCGCTCTTGCAAGGGCAAGGGGGGCAAGGGCGCGGGTGGAGCTAGCGGGGGCGGTGGAGGTGGCGGTGGAGGCGGCGGAGGGAGTGGGGGTGGCGGTGGGAGTGGTGGCGGGGGCGGAGGTGTCGGTGGCAGTAGTGGAGGCGGAGGCGGCGGAGGCGGCGGCGGTGCTAGCGGAGGCGGCGGTGGTGGCGGTGGTGGAGGAGGTGGCGGTGGTCGGGGTGGAACTTCGCAGCGGAGCACCCCTGGTGGTGGTCAGCGCCAGCAGCAGCAGCAGCAGCAGCGTTCTCGGGACATTCCCCCCCCTCAGCAGCTCCGTGAGTTGTACACG